ATAGATATTGACCTAGAGCTTTCATCTCTACAGAAAGACCAGATTGTGGAGTTGATCAAAGAATTCGCAGAGTGCTTTTTTTCTTCTTTGAAAGTCGGACGTACTCCTATAAGAAAGCACCGATAATAATCGAAAGACATATTAGACCAGTATGTCAGCATCCATACCGAGTAGCTCCGAAAGAAACGGAGGCGATAAAAAAGCAAGTACAGGAGATGCTCGATGACGATGTTATACAGCCCTCCAAAAGCCCATGGGCATCGCCGGTAGTACTTGTGAAGAAGAAGGACAACACCATGCGGTTCTGTGTTGACTACAGAAAACTCAACCTCGTCACGAAGCGAGACGTGTACCCACTCCCACGAGTCGACGATACGTTGGATAAACTGCACAATGCTCACTTTTTTCATCGTTGAACCTAAAGAGCGGGTACTGGCAAATAGAAGTCCACGAACGAGATCATGAGAAGACGGCGTTTGTGATACCCGACGGACTCTACGAGTTAAAAGTAACCCCATTTGGTTTGTGTTCTGCTTCCACTACCTTCCAGAGGATGATGGACACTGTGCTCTCCGGTCTCAAATGGCAGTCATGCTTTGTCTATCTTCATGACATAGTAATTTTTTCCACTACGATCGAGCAGCACGTACAGAGATCGAGAACGGTACTGGACGCTATTCGCATGGCTGCACTTACGATCAAACCCGAAAAGTGCCACTTAGGATTCTGGGAGCTTCGGTTCCTCGGGCACATTGTCACTTCTCACGGTGTCCGCCCAGACTCGGATAAGATCACTGCGCTTGAAAATTTCCCAAGGCCAACAGACAAAAAGGCTATGCGAAGTTTCCTGGGGCTTTGTGCTTATTATAGGCGCTCCTTTGAAAACTTCTCCAAGATTGCGGAACCACTGACACGGCTTACGAAGGAAGGTAAACCATTTATCTGGCACCAGGAGCAAGAAGACGCCTTCTCTGAGTTACGACGGCATTTGCAGTCACCTCCCATACTCGCTCATTTTGATGAAGATGCCAAAACAGAGATTCATACGGGCGCCAGCAACGTTGGCCTCGGTGCTATTCTTGTTCAGTGGCAGAACGGGGAAGAAAATGTTATTGCTTACGCAAGCCGCACTCTGTCGAAAGCTGAGTATAATTATTCAGCTCCAGAAGAGGAATGTCTCGCAGTTATATGGGTCATAAGTAAGTTCCGTCCACATTTATACTGTAGACCATTCCGAGCCATCAGGGACCATCATTCATTGTGTTGGCTTGAGAACCTTAAGGATTCTTCCGAAAGACTTCATAGATGGAGCCTGCGTGTACAAGGATATGACATCACCGTAGTCTACAAGTCCGGCCACAAGCACAATGAAGCGGATGGCTTGTCACTAGCACCAGTCCAGACCTCTTCTCCTGAGCATGAAGAAGTTATGCATTTCTTGCAGCTGTGAATGTGTCGGAGATGGCTCATGATCAGCGAACGGGCCCAGAATTGCTTCTGCTCATTCAATACTTGAAGGGGCAGCAAGTCAAAGTACCGCGAGTTTTCGTCCGTGGACTACGTTCCTACGTCTCCGCAACAACGTTCTGTACAAGAGAAACTTTGAGTACACCGGTGAAACGTTCCTACTGCTGATACCATCACCACTGCGAGCGGAAATATTAAAAGCGTGTCATGATGACCCATCGGCAGGTCGCATGGGCACGACTGTAAAACAGAGACTTCGACAAGAATCCGCCAGTGATATTGCTGGAGAAAATTGATGGATTCAGTACAGCACTGTGTCAGATCATGCCGAGAATTCCAAAGACGTAAAGTACCGCCCATAAAGCCAGCAGGTCTTTTGAAACCGATAGGGCCACCGAAAGTCCCATTTGAGCAGGTCGGAATGAATTTGCTAGGACCATTTCCTATGTCATTGTTCGGGAAGCGCTGGATAGTTGTAGCAACCGACTACATGACCTGGTATGCCGAGACGTCATCTCTCACAAACTGACAAAGGAACTGCATTCACTGCCAGGCTAGTACAGTCTGTCATGAAGCTAACGCACACCGACCACAGAAGAACTACAGCGTACCATCCGCAAACTAACGGGTTAACTTAAAGGCTATATAGGACGCTTGCTGACATGATCGCGATGTATGTGGACGCCGAGCATTGGACTTGGGACACCATATTACCGTATGCTACATTTGCATACAACACTGCACTACAAGAGACAACCCACTTCACGCCCATTTCAACTTGTTTATGGTCGGACAGTAATAACAATATAGACGCGATGCTGCCTGTCAACAGCATCAATGAAGAGGACCCTGACATAAGCGAATATGTAGAAAGAGGAGACGAGGTGCGACAACTAGTACGGAACCGCAACATTCAACAGCAGGACGTCGATGCGCACCGTTACAATCTAAGACAAAGGGGCGTTCAGTACTCCCCTGAAGACCAAGTGTGGGTCTGGACGCCTGTACGTGCACGTGGCCTGTCAGAAAAGCTTATGCGGCGCTATTTTGGTCCTTACAGGGTTCTTCGTCAGCTAGGCCCATTAAACTACGAAGTGATCTTTGAAGGTCAAGTATGCAAAACACGACGCAGGAATCTCCCGGAAGTTGTTCATGTAGTACGGATGAAACCGTACAACGGCAGGAACTGCACAAGCGAATTGACTCACGTCGTCTAACACAAGGACAAGTCCTATTGTTTAGAAACTGTCAGCCGGCTCTACGCATCGGGGCGATGCGTGCTAGGAGGGGGACTAATACCACTGTTGGACCATCGCAGAAGACGCGTGCAACAATTTGCGTTCGTAAAAGCCGGAACACCAAATAGCAAGAAAGCCGCGCCATGGAACGCCGTCCTGCACGCGCCACGACGCTACGCCGCGGGACCGGCACGAGACACGAGGCGCAGAGGAAGAGACCGACGAAGTTGGAGTCAGTGAGCAAGGGACACTTTGGCTGACCATTTAAGTTTTAACATTACTGGCACAGGTTCGCCCTAAATAAATATATATATATATATATATATATATATATATATATACATATATATACATATATATATATATATATATATATATATATATATATATATATATATATATATATATATATATATATATAAGGGAAAGAAGTGTATACCTAAGGGCTCGTTTTTCCGTGTTTTAACACAATATTATTGAGATATAACAGACAGTAATGCCAAGGAATGTACAGGGGAAGTTATTAAAACCAATGGAATGTAAATAAGAAGAAAGAAAAGTGGATGAAAAAATTACCAACTGTGAGCAGGAATCGAACCTACGACCTTCGAATTTTTTTCATCCACTTTTCTTTCTTCTTATTTACATTCCATTGGTTTTAATAACTTCCCCTGTACATTCCTTGGCATTACTGTCTGTTATATCTCAATATATATATATATATATATATATATATATATATATATATATATATATATATATATAATATATATATATATATATAGTGGGAGTAATAATTCAATGGGCCAGTTAGTCTTCGTGAAGGTATGGGATATGGCACAACGGGAGCGTTGTCAACAAGGATAAATATATTTATTTCCCAACAGTTTCGGGAGGGGACCTCCCTTCATCAGGGGATGAGTTATAACTCATCCCCTGATGAAGGGAGGTCCCCTCCCGAAACTGTTGGGAAATAAATATATTTATCCTTGTTGACAACGCTCCCGTTGTGCCATATCCCATATATATATATATATATATATATATATATATATATATATATATATATATATATATATATAATATATATATATATATATATATATATATATATATATATATATATATATATATATATAGGAACACAAGGGTGCTTTGGAAAAGCCGAAGACTAAGAGGGAGTCAGAATAGAATAAATACATCTCGTGTATATAAGCCACGCCAAGTGTTTTACATCTAGCGTCACTATTCGCAAGTTTCGTAGGCTGTCACGCCGTCCCGCGGCCATCAGCGTGGTTTTTCAGAGTATTGGAATGGCGGCGGGGCAGTAGTGCTCATAGTATGTGCATCTACGTCTCGGCTGGCATTGGGCCTTCACTGGAAGGTTTCTGTTGTAGTTACCGGGCGTACAAAAGGTCACTGCAGTCCTCACAGTCTCCATTTGTGAAAATGGCGCGCTTTTCAGACACAGCGAAGTAAAAACTGAGACGATTATTCACGTTCATGTGTACCTGTGAGTATGTTTCATGCGTAATTTGTGCTTGAGAAACGCGGGGCACGTTTCTATCTGCTTGCTATTTGGCGCGTGACCTTCCGATACGTTGCTATAGTGTTCATACTTTGCCTTCGCGGCAAAGCTATGTCGTTTTTCAAAAATGTGTCAGAAATATCGGCATTGCGATAAGTAAGCGAAATCTTACATCGGTAAATATTTGTTCAAAATTGAGGGCGTGAAAGGAAATACAGTATTTTAATATACTATTTGAAGTTTAACGTGACAATCCAAGTAATAACCGTGAGGCGCGCCTTTAGTGGAGGCCAACGTGCATGGACATCGCATGCCACAACAAGTGGTGTGCTTGGTATGCAGGACCTCTTCGCCTTCAACGAGGCATCGTATCCGAGTTTCTGAAGGGTCTAGATGGCGCATATTATGTGAATGCAAAGAGGGTAAAGCCTTCACGAAGCAAAACAAAAAAGAAAACACTGCAGTGCAGGCCACACATGTGCTCAGCGACTCCGATATTCTCTGCGGGCGCCATATTGAACCACCCTGTACGGCCCCTATAAGTGACGAAACTTGCGAATACTTAAAGTAAAGCATCACAAACGCCTTTATGAGTATATTGTTGAGCCTCTACGTAGCCTGCCTACAAGTTTCGCTTCCTTAGCTGAAGTGATTTAAGAGAACTCCACTCAAGTTCTTTTACCTGAGGAACCCCACCGCTCAGCTATTTGCACGTGCGGAATTGACGGTGTTATCATGACGTTGAGCATTTTTTTTCTTTTGTCTAGCATTGGCGGCTACATTCTTGACCTGGCCGTGACCCACTTTAGCGGACTGGCCGTCTTTCAACCAGTAATCAATGGTAAGCATATCACTTCTGTATCTACGAATGATGTACGTACGTGGCGAAATGTCCCGCGATCGTGAAGGCCAAAAAGGACGCAATCAGGTTGTTAACGTTTTCAAACTCGAAGTACTTCTGTTGTTTGAGAGTCTTGCATGCGAGAGCATTTCTGACTGATTGTTAGTGTCAAGCGTTGCCTATAAATACTTTCATTGACTTTTAAAGTAAGGGTGAGTGTTCATCTGACTTATCAGCACCAATAAACATGATCTCTGGTTTGTCTCTTTAATTGTCAGTAAGAAGTCGAGTAAGGTTTGACTCCTAAGTGGAATTCACTGGTTTTACTCCTTACTTGTGGAACGTCAGTTGTGACCATTCTATCAGACGAGGAAGTCAGCGCTGGAAACCAGCGCTTTTCTCCTGTCTGGCTCGTGCCGCAGGCGCGGAGTGTACGCGCTGGTGCTTAGATAAAGAGCGTTGTTGAACAATTTAGCATGTTTTTGATTACACTGTACATTTTCTTGTCTATGTCAAACAGCGAAAGGTCAGCGGCAAGCTACTGTGCTATTTTTGGTTGTTCTAAGAATACAAGAAAAAAAAAAGGAGACTGCTGCCTGAATAAGTGTGCGGCACGCATCACCAAACGCGCATCGTTTGCGGTTGCTTCATGGTGCATCGTTTCGTTTGTGTTATGTGACAAGTTGCAGATCAGAGAAAGCCGCAATCTACCAGAAATGCCCAGTCTTCCATTCAGTCAAATGACATAATTAGATTGACGACCAAACATGAGTGATCAAGAAGGGGCCTGCCCGTTAAAGCGCAACACATCCAAGCACCTCACGAGTAGCCACCTGAGTTTTTTTTCGCTTCGTTTCAATATCATATTTCAGTATGATAGGATCGTTCAAAACAAATCGCCTCGGAGCTCAGCTCAACCTGGCAATCGATGTAGTTGATGTGGCTGTGTATTACCCCTTATTTCGCAGCAGGGTAACTGGCAGGAAACATTTAATTTGTGCTGCGCACCAGCCATGTGGAGTCCGAACATTCGTTAAATTTTACATAAACTTGAACTGACCGAATCTTTTTCTGGAGTGTGCAGTGCATGTGAGATGGCGAGATATGTATCGTGCACGGTGTGCAATTTGAAAGCTGAACAGTAAAAAAAACATAAAGGAGTCTTGTCACTTTGTTTTTAGAGCTAGTAATTGCCAGCAAGACATTTTTTTTTTGCGTGGTCAAGAACTGTGTCTCAGAAGTCGTGCAATGATATTCTTTTCTATAAGAAAACCAAAGTTTAACCACGTTTTGCGATTGCCTGATGTGTTTATTACTGTGTGTTTCGCAGCTTAGCTTCAGGAACGACCAATACGATTTCGCAAAACGCGTATATTAAAAATTATTTTGAAAAAAAATAAATACGAATTGGCTCTCATGTCTATCGTGGGCTCGAGCCCGGGTGCGCTTACACTCTCTTCAGCAGAAGAAACTCTATCTTCACTTTATCATCACCGCGATCTAATCGAACGCCACGACACTAAAAAAAAAAAAAGGCGCGCCACCATGTACACATTAGCATTGCTTTTTCTGTACCGGCGCCTCCATGTAAACAGTTCTCGTTTCCTGCTCACCGGTAGTGAATAAATGAGCGAGTAATAGGGGTCGTCAAATGTCGAGCAAGAGATAGACATCAGTTTGTGAGCAACCAACAAATGGCGTCATCGCCAAGAAATCGCAGATGCGCACTCACAGCAACAGCACAAAAAACCACGAGTGGAAAAGAAGCCTAAATATTACAGTCCTGGAAAAAAATCATTGTATCATCAAAAAGCACCTCCACTTCCTTGCACTGCTAGAATGGGTCAAAATATTGTTACGTTTTTCCAACAGACTAAAATGCCGAAAACGTACGTACGACACTGACCTCTTGCGACACGTTTGCGCCATCACATATTACATATTTGACCCCGAACGAGTCGAAACCTTTCAAGGTGTCTGACAAGCTCATTTTATACCTATAATACATTACTTGAGACGCAATTCAGTGTGCCACAATGAAAAAAAAATGACTGCAACTGCAACCAACGCCTTTATCATGAGTTTTCATTATGAGCTGTCAAATTATGAATAAACTTTACGAACGTCGTATATTTCTTATGTATGTCCTCTCTGTTATGACCCTCTACCAGGGTTGACAGTATTATCAAATATAATTAAAAATAAAAAACGTGGAACTTCGCACGCGCCAGTGGGTTGCCAGACCAGCACGGTGCCACCCGCTAACAAATATGGCGGCGTCCATGTTGGAGAGCAGTGCTTGATAGGTGGCGTGCCGAAAAACAGCATGTAGCGGAGAGTTGAGGCACAACTCAGCCGCTCGCGTCCAGACGACCGGTGGCAGTGCACTGCGGGGAGAGCACGCGCGTGTGCCGCTGCAGCGCTTAATTTTAGAACAGACAGCTTGAAAAACCATTGTGCCTGTTTTGGCTGCCAGATCAAGCAGAGTCACCGCCTGGCGGTAACTGGCCGAACAGGCGAAGCGGGGATGGCTTTGTGCGTCGTCTGCTAGCCACGTCGTGTTTCCATGAGCGTGTACGTCATGCACGTTCTCAAAGTGTGCTTTGCCAGGTCATACGTCAGCGCGAGTGTAACTGTTTCTACGTATGCCTGAAACGACATACAAAAGCATTAGGTATTGCTTGGCTAATAAGGTCGGCAAGTGCAACTTTCAAGAGTGCCGTTTTTTTTTTTGTCGTATACGGTGAATAGAGGGTATACCCTCTATTCACCAGAATAATTTAAGAGCGGTTGCCGCTTTCTGTTTTAAGCACATCGCAAAATGCTCTTGCTCGCCGCGGTAATCTAGTGGCTAAGGTACTCGGGTACCGACCCCCAGGTCGCGGGATCGAATCCAGGCTACGGTAGCTGCATTTTCGATGGAGGCGAAAATGCTGTAGGCCTGTGTGCTCAGATTTGGTTACACGTTAATGAACCCCAGGTGGTCGAAATCACCTAAGCCCTCCACTACAGCGTCTCTCATATTCATATGGTGGTTTTAGAACGTGAATCCCTACATAATAAATTTTTTAAAATGCTCTTGGTATCCTCCCAAACATTAGGCTAATAAATGGTGAGTGAATGCTACGTTTTATAGTGACTCGGTTGTAAAAAAAAAAACATTCGCTTGTCATGCGTTGGCGCGCTGTTGGTATATATGTGTACAACTACGACGCCGTATTTTATCGATCACGTGAGGAGCCTTAGTTGTGCTTTTCTGACCGTGGTACCACTACATACAATTACTACTATCACATACACTGTGATACTTTGGTACTTTAAACTCCGGTACTTTAAAATGTACTTAAAACAGATTTAATGCGCGCAACCATGTGCGCATTAAATCTAAGATCGCTTGAAAGAGCACACACGTCGAAAATTAATTTAGACCACATGCCTTATACACAATTTTGTATAATTTCACTGAAAATTTCACTTTTTTTGCATTGTCTTGAGCGTTTGTGTGTCATTGTTAGGGATAGACGGAAGGCAGTGGTCATTTTTCAGTCTGAAAAAAAAAAGACCTGCTTGTCCCAATAACGAGGCCTTTGGTGTAGTGCTTTCATGCACGTAGTTCATCGATGAAAGCTTTCCACTGAACCCTTATGTAAGCTTTTTACTGGTGCAAGAACATGTGCGTACACGTGGTAAACGCAGTCATGCACGTAGTCCATCGATGAAAGCTTTCCACTGAACCCTTATGTAAGATTATTACTGGTGCAAGAACATGTGCGTACACGTGGTAAACGCAGTCATGCACGTAGTCCATCGATGAAAGCTTTCCACTGAACCCTTATGTAAGATTATTACTGGTGCAAGAACATGTGCGTACACGTGGTAAACGCAGTCATGCACGTAGTCCATCGATGAAAGCTTTCCACAGAACCCTTATGTAAGCTTTTTTACTGGTGCAAGAACATGTGCGTACACGTGGTAAACGCAGTCATGCACGTAGTCCATCGATGAAAGCTTTCCACTGAACCCTTATGTAAGATTATTACTGGTGCAAGAACATGTGCGTACACGTGGTAAACGCAGTCATGCACGTAGTCCATCGATGAAAGCTTTCCACTGAACCCTTATGTAAGATTATTACTGGTGCAAGAACATGTGCGTACACGTGGTAAACGCAGTGTATAGCACAGAGCGCCGTCAGTCACAATGAGCTTTCCTGATGAGGCTCATCGACTCTTCCACATTTCATGATGAAAAAGAGGAGGAGGTGGAAAGTTATGGAGTCTTTTTTTTTAACAGAATGAGAGAAAAATTAAAGGCGTATATAAGGTGAAAACGGTAGTACTGAACTAATAAACAGGCATATGGGCTTTCTACGATCTTTCTCACTTTTTGTAGTATGCAGATGACAAAAATGTAAGTAAATATTTAAATCACGCGACAGCAGTGCGTAGTCGGTGGAACTCAAGCTAACCACGTACAAACAACACAGAAAAGGTATGATTTAGTGCGAAAGCGAGAAGAGTTCACCTGGGGCAAGCATCTCTATAAAAGGCAGAATGCGCTTTACTCGTGGGTAATGTTAACTTTGCGAAGGCCTCGTGTACCGATTCAGCAGAGAAGAGCGAGGATACGAACAGTAAACTGTACTGAACGCCTTTTGTACGCTGAAACTCGGCTCATACTACACGCGACGAAGCGCCGCTGCAGCGTATTTGTATACGTTCCGCTGACCGCCTATCCACACTTGTGCGGGAACTGCGCTGCCACCTATAGCCTGATCACATCGCGAATATTGCACTGTGGATTGAAAAAAAAATAAACTCCGTCCGAAGGCTACTATCCAGAAAGGGCAGTCCTAAAACTGAGAGAAGCTCTGTAGAGCGGAACTGCGTCCATGCAAGTGGCATCGAGGGGAGAGCGCTGTACAGGGATGCCGATTCTCTCAACAACCATTTTCTGTTCGCGTGCCGGATTTTGTGCTAAGCATGTGCCGGCTTATATGCCCCTATATTGATGAAACCGTGCGGCGACGATAACACACTCCTCACTTCTGTGGTAAATAAACAACACAAAAAACAGAGGAAGTAGCAGCTGCGTCATCGAATTTTTAAATGCGAAGCATTTCTTAGCGAACTTCGGCGACTTTTAGCGTATCTATCTATCTATCTATCTATCTATCTATCTATCTATCTATCTATCTATCTATCTATCTATCTATCTATCTATCTATCTATCTATCTATCTATCTATCTATCTAGCCGCAGCCGCTTACGTTTGGATGCTATTGTGGTCACCCCCTTAACTTGGCGTGAACCAAGATTAGCATGGGAGGGAAAGATGGTTTCACGAATATTACGTGCTGGTCAAGACGTGTATAATCTCATAACCCCGTCGTGTACGTCGTCAAACACTTTCCGCCAGGCAGAGGCACACACCCATAGGCGGGTATGTGCCGCTTGTATGCGGATATGTGCCACAGGTGACTTGACACATAGTATCTACCCAGGAACGACGAGAACACACATGTGCAATTTTAACGCGCGAGCGTTAAGAAGTACCCGACATCGATAGCGTCGACCAAACCAATGCAAAGAATAAATGTCAAGGTCCCAGCTGGAATCAAACCCAAGCATTCTGCGTGGCAATGAAGCATTTTAACACAGAGCTACGCCAGGTCTCGGAACTACTTTTCTAATAGACGCTAATCTTCGTTAAACGTCAATAAACACATAAAGCCGAACATGAAACCTTTATTTGCTCGTACTAACACATTCAAATTTAGTTTGTTCCCACGTACTATAGACCTCTAGAATTCCCTACCGGCCAGTATTCGTTCACTATCTTTACAAAATTTCATTGATGCCGCTATTGCCCATTTAGAAAATAGGTAAAGATCGTGTTTACAATAGCATAGTGACGTTTTCTTTTGTATTTTAGTTTTATTGTTGTTTTATTGTTGTTTTATTGTTGTTGCTCTCTTTGTATTAGTTTTGTATAACTCATCCACTCCTGCTATAGCTTCGCATTAAGGCTGCAGTATATTCAAATAAATATAAAATAGTGGTTGCAGTGCTGCCTACCCAATTTTATAAACATTACATATGTAATCATTCGATACAGCCGCCACGTCGGGTTAACGTCAATTGTGGTTAGTTGCCATGCGCTGAAGTTTATTTACGTAGCAGTGTCTAGGGCCAGCATCAGAGCTTATCGTGAGCTTCTGTCAATGTTTGCAAACTATGTAGGCTACTTTCTTGTATCATTCACTTCACGTGGGGGCATCAGACAGAGTTTGGTGGTGGCGATCAGAAAAAACGTTTTTTTACATATTCCGTACGTACACTGCATTATATGCTAGTTTTATTTCCGGCAAAACACCGTATAAATTCGGCTGTTTCAAACTGCTTTCCACAGGTGGCCATCTTCATTATCGGATGAAGCTGGCAAACAGGTGAAATTCAGTTCAGAAACCAGCCCGACACCACTAGACAGTAGAGCGAGAGCAGAACATACTTTGCTCGCGTGATCGCTTGGAGGCAACGCCACCTCCTTTATTATTGATATAATGAAGGAGGAAAAAATGTACATGTACGGGTCCTCCCTCAATTCTAACTATTTTCGCACTTGAATACCAGCACTTGAATACTCCAGCGCTGGTTTTCGCGGTACGCGCCCAATATGCCCTCTGGCAGTCACGCTGGCACTCGGTGACGACTATTGTTCGTCAGCGTTCTCGCTCTGTTGTCGGGCTGCTCAAAAGATGATTTTGGCCCGTACGCCTGATGATTTTTAAAGGTGATAGTTTTTTTCTTGAAGACTCCCTACGCAGAAATTTTGGTCTGTCTGTCTGTACAGTTGTCTGTTTGTCCGCCCTTAACGATACTCCAAACGGCATCAGACGATACCCCAACCAGCCGACCCCATCCGCAGCGCCCACCAATATTGTCGAAGCTTTAGCGTTCATACTTGGACGACTGTCAATTAAAAAGCAATTATTGTGCATATATGAGGCACCATAACGACACATCAATATTCCGCATGTTTTTCTTTTCACTAGAAAAGGCATACATAAGTAATTCTAGGGACCATAGCGCTTATCCCGCTGCGCTGACGATACAACGCTTGCACGAAATAGCAAGTGATTCCAACGCTTTCCTAAGACGACAGGGTGAGGGCACCTAATCATCGCCTTGCGTTCTACAGCTTGTCGCCTCCGAGGCAGGCGCGCACGCCACGTGCTTCGTTTTCCAAAGTAACTGCCAGATAGCGGTCATGTCTCAACTGTGACGTCACTTCATGCGCTCATTCGCCTCCACTGCACGCTCGAGGCACTCTAACGCAGCGCCTCCAGAATGCCATTCACCAGTTTTCTTGCGCAGAACATCAAAGAAACGTTTTGTTTACTCTCTCCAGACGCAAGACTATCATTTTGACGACATTTGCAGTGTAACATGCAGATACGGGGCCATTTTTTTGTCTTTTTGTAAGGGGAACATGCTCAATCCACACACATCGTTTCATGTTTCAACCCCGTACAGTGGAATAGAATATACTCTGGTCAGCCAGTCGTGCCATAGAATATACTAGTTCTGCCTAACTGCCGGACAGTTTCATTGAACTTGTTTATCTTAACTTTCTGAACAGCGAAAACAGACATTTTATCTTCGGTTGCCTTTACCTATCCCCTTCTTCATATTCCGATTTTTGTTTCTCGTACAGTAATAGTAGTAAGGTTTGCTAAGGAAAATAAGAAATATATGTACCTATAATCAGGGGGTATACATAAATTACAGATCTAATTTCTCAACTCTCGTAGTTATTCATCGTTTCATAAGTGTCCATCCCGCTTGAAATGAAGAAAATTGTAAATTTTAAGGCCTTGTTTTGTTTGTGTGACAAACTATTATTGAGAAAAAACAGACAATAACGCCAGGGAAAGTATGGGGGTTGTTACGAGAAGTAATTAAAACGTAAATGGGAAGAAAGAAAACTGTACGAAAAAATAACTAGCCACCGGTAGGGTCCAAACCGGCGACCTTCAAATAACGCATCCGATTCGCTACCAATGAGCTGCAGTGGCGGTCATCCCTCCGTCCCTCTTGTTGGGTATAGATGTCCATTTAAACATAGGAGCTCAAGTCAGCGCCACGTGATGCCACTGTGGCGAGTGTGTAACACTCTTATTGCTTGTTGTGGCCTTGCGTGATCTTATTACACGGTGGCTGGCGACCAATTATCACTAGCATACCAGCTCAAGGCATCAAGTCTGCCAGGACGAGACCCTCACTATGAATGAAGGAAAGTGTAACTTTAAGGACTTATTTGTTTCTTCGGATCCTTCCATTGCCAAGTTATCTTTTTGTCCACTTTTCTTTTTTCACATTTACATTACAATTACTTCTAATAACATCCCCTATACTTTTGCTGGCACTATTGTCTGCAAATTTTCATTATTATTGCATCACACTTTAAGCGTCATATGCTTCATCCTTCTCTGATTAAGCTTTTTTGTGGCACTTTATATCATTGTTCAATTCCGTAGCGAAGTTCTTTCCAGTATATGCACAACGAATGAAACCCACGGACGACTAAGCCACCAAACGTATACAGGGCATTATTTGTGCCGTCTAAACTTTGCTGTAGATTGAGATCAAATACACAAATCAAATTTCTATTCTCATTTCTTCGATTTCACTGAGAATTATTACGGTTACCAAACCCAAATATTGTTCCCAACGATTCCCTTTACTTGATTAGGGTCGGTTTCATTAGTTATGTATAATACACAAAGCAATTGAGCCTCTTGGACAATTTCCTCTTTCGTATTTTACAGACTATATGTATGCCATATCATTTATGTTATTATTTTATGTACCGTGCATAAGTATTTCTAAATTGTCATTTGTATTTCATGTTATATACACTGTTCATTAAACTTAAGTCTTACCTCCACGCTTCCTGAATCTTATCTTGCTGTATCTGATATCGGAACATTTGATATTCCTCAGTGTAGTACTCATGCTAAAAACCAGCTATTGTTCTTTGTACACGGGGTGTATAAACTGCTGTACCATAGCTTCTATGTAGCAATGAAAAAAGATGTTTCAATCTGATTTTTTCTTTGAGACCTCGTTTTGCAAATCAACATCTAGCTTCAATCTATTAGTGATTGTTTATTATTCATAATTAAGAAATAGGCCTTAATTTTCATTCTTCATCTGACAACTACAGTTGTGTCTTCTACTATGGGCACCTACATAACAAGACTTCGTCACAACTGTAAATAAATATGGCCATGAGTACTCGTATGTACATATAATGAGCAATCACTGTGTCATAAATGTGCTTGGTAGTGCAGTATATATGAAAAAAAATTGTATATGTATACTTCACCATTAGCCTCACTACGCCCAATGCAGGACAAACGCCTCTCACGTGTGCTGCCAATCAACCCACCAGGATAAAACCGCTGAGCCACGCAGTGAGCAAACTGACTATTTGATGTTAGCAAGAACGAGGAAACAAACACACGTGTTAAAATTAACAGCAGCTGCCACCGTGAAGGAGCCCACGGCAACCCCGTAACGCCGCCAAAGCTGCTAGGAAATGTAGAAGGGGCGCCGTTTACCGAAATCCATGTAAAAGAAGGACGCAGCAGTGCGGCCAATCGCGCCACTAGAAGATACTTTAGTTTCCTCTGCTGGCCCGCGAGTATCTCGGTTTCAAAACGGTGCGGTCAGCGACAGACGCTCCACAGCGGGGGAGCGCCTGACGCACTTCATAATTTTCATCACCCTCTCGTCACAGGCGTCAACGGAAACCTGGCGGCTATTCACGCGAGCCGGTTGTCGACCCTGTTTGCGCAGCGCTCCGAGCTTGGCTTTCACCCGGAGGACGACAAGCGACACTGCGTCGATCCACTCACGGGTCTATGTGGAAACAGTGAGTCTTACAACGACTACGCACGCATGATGTTTTTGTATGATGCCCCGCCGCAGTGTTCTAGTAGCTAAGGTACTCAGCTGCTGCCCCGCAGGTCGCGGGATAGAATCCCGGCTGTGGCGACTGCATTTCCGATGGAGGCGGAAATGCTGTAGGCCCGTGTGCTCAGATTTGGGTGAATGTTAAAGAACCCCAGGTGGTCGAATTTCCGGAGCCCTCTACTACGGCGCCTCTCATAATTATATGATAGTTTTGGGACGTTGAATCCCAAATATTATCAAATCAATGTTTTTGTGGGACTGTTTCCAGTTGCTGGGCAAGAAAATAATGAAATAGCTCGAATGAGTGATGTATTTTTTGTGGTCTTTCATGAAACACTAGATATAGAAGATTTAACTTAGCCGGGCAATAAGCTGGACGTGGGGTAAAGTGTGCCCTTAGGAATTACACATTACGTGCATTTTAGAAAAGAAGCTCATAGTTCAAGTACCAGGTTTGTGAATGGAAGCACATCATACCAGTCTGTTGCTGCGACTTTTGTGCGCGTGTGTGCGTGCATATTAATACAACCTCCGTATCTTCCGAACACAGCGGCTATTTCATGTGACGAAGCCTTCTGCCAGGCCTCTCGATGTGGCAACCTCACCCACATCACTCGTCGAAAGGGTCGAGGCAGCGTAACCTGTACCCAGTCCTATCCCGGCGTCTGACCCTTCCCCTACCACTATTTCATTGATACATCACGAATTATCGAACTCTGACCTATATCATGTTCTTTCAGTATATTCTGCCGAGTCCTTCCATCGCCGCTCCTCCGTTACCTCGCCTTGCTTCCAACTATTATCGACAACGTCATATGTCTGAATTCCGTAGCCTTGGCGATAAGCCCATACGTTTTGACTGCCGACGCGTCGGTCATATCGCTGGCCACTGCCGCAACCTCTGGGCTTCACTGGCACATTACGGGTCCCCCGCCCAGGCCACTTTTTTCCAACAGTCGTCCTCAGCACTTCGTTCTTCGATGCCGACGACCTTCCATACTCCTGCCACATCTCTGATCAGACCTCGCTCCGACAGGTCGTCGTACACTGCTCGCCGACAAATATCCTTCGCACCCACAACGCCGGGCTGCCTCTTCGACCTATTCGCAGCACCTCCAACGAGAAAACTAGGCAATGCCGTTTCTGTAGTTGGAGCTGCATTGATGACCTTTGCGGAATTCCTTGCTGAACGTTAACAATAAACCGGAGCCCTTTGTACGTTCCTGCGGACAGTGTTTCTGTTAGCGCGTTGATAGATACTAGGGCGAATGTGTCCGTTATGAGCGCTGATCTTCACCGCCTACCTAATTAAGTTTTTACGCCCACCCTAAACCGAGCTGTACGGGTCACCGACGGGGGAACTGTCACAATCAGTGGCATGTGCTCTGTTTTAGTCTCTACTGGGAAGAGAAGCGCTCTTGTTCTTCTCATCATTTTTCAACTGATAAACTCATTCTCGGTGTGGATTTCCTTACCACTCACTCTGCTCTCATAGACTCTTCAGCTGGCTCTCTCAACCAGGTTATCCTCGCTGCATTCTCTCTTGTTGTTCTTTTTTCATTCCTTGCATCTCTCTATGTCGATTTACTTCTCCATACTGCCGACTAACCCACCTCGAAGACGTCTCTGCGGCATCAACTTCACACGCATCCCGCTTACTCTGTTATACACGTTGACTTATCCTCCATGCCACCTGTACCTGACGGCGATTACATGGTTGCACTGATTCATGCTGTGATGCTCACGCGTGGTGTTGCTGTACCACATACATTTCCGACATTTTTTTGGATATCGCACTTGTCTTCCTTTTGTCAATTTTTCCCTCACTGTTCAAGTTCTCCCACAACGTATTTCCGTGGCCCTATTTAGCACTCTTCCAGATCGCCATGTCGAGCCTTTGAGAGTGTAAGATTGCTGCAGGTCAGCTAGTGGTTCAACTCTATCACACTCGACGGGCGTCGACATAAAACGAATGGCGTCATCGGACCTGATTTCGGATCCAGCTCAATGCCTCTGCCACGTTCTTGAATGATATCGTGACATTGTTTAATTTGCCAGTACGTCTTGAAGCCCAACGACCGTCGTTACTTATCATATTCGAGTCTCATTCATTCACGCCCATATTGTGTCTCCGCGTCGGAGCCGCATCCGACAGCCGTCCGACAGCCGCATCCGAACAGCCGCATCCGAACAGCCGCATTCGACAGCCGTCCGACAGCATGCGGCGACGATTCGCACGCCGCGCGTGCATCCAACTTGCTGAATGTAGCCGCACTACAGCCACGCTGGTTTGGCGGCCGCAGCCAATGGCAGCGCCGAAGCGTGAGAACGGGTGCCACAGGTGGGCACTGTCGCAAGTTTCGGTCTCGCCGCTCCGATCGCCCTCGTATTTTTGGATATCGCCGTTGCCAGTGGCATTAAAAACATTGGATAGACTGTTTCTGACGTGAAATAACTCATGATTGAATAAAGTGATGCTTAAAGTGTACTATTTCTGCAAGGCAACGCCGGTTTCCGAACCAACGACGAGATGTCGAGCCGTGATGGAAGTCCATTTCGCAGGTAAATAAACAGTGGTACCGGCGGTCTCGGCGAACTGGCTCGCTTCGTTCCCACGTTTGGTTTTTACATCTATGCCGTTGATTAAACCAGTCGCACGGGCGAAAGCGTCATATAAGTGTACGAGGTTTTATCGTGTTGGTAAAACGAAGCGCCGGACAATGAGCTCAAGTCAAAAAGAGAGCGGCACTATCGAGAACGTCGGCTTTGCTAGGCCTACGCTCGGAGTCGATAATCAATGTGGGCTGTGTCGATGTTTGTCGCTTGCGAAGGCGTAGCTTTGTTGGCGATGTTATCAGACAACAAAGCATCGCTGCGAGAGCTTCTTTATTTTGCGCCTTATAAAAAGAATACCATGTCTTCTGAGCTTGCGAGCTGAGGGGTCGTATGGGCGGAGCCTCAGCGCTGATGGCTGTTCGCCCCATGTGTCTTGAACCGACGTACGCGGCGTGCGGTGTCGCGTGCCGCATCGGATGCCAAATCGCACCATGTGTCTCCCGCTTAAAGCGCGAGACAGACGTGCGATTTTCCGTGCGATGCGGCGTGCGGCGTCACATGGTGCGGCGTGCCGCATGCGACATTTCGGGACACACAGGGGCGAGGAAGCTATCAGCGGCAGGCCCCACCCCTCTGCGGCGCCTCGGCATGCAGGGTCGAACAACTTGGTATCCTCGTAATGAGGCTCAAAACAGGCAACATGCAGAGCAACGCTTCGTTCTATAAAAATAATTATTAAATCGCATTCGTGAACGACAAGCCCATCGTAACCACGGCAACAGCTGATTATTCACAACTCCGACAGGTAGGCCTAGCATCGCGGGCGCCGGCCGTCGCCTACGCCGTTTACACACGAGCTCTTCATCGAGAGCTTGTTTTTGACAACACTATCGAGCATTGCACTCGTATTTAATGCGTTAGCGTACATTATTACTTTATCGATGCCATCGACGTGAAGAGCAAAGGTGGAAGCGAAGCGAGCCAGCGCAGAGACGCCGGTAGCTGTGTTTACCCGCGAAATGACCTTGCATCGCTGCTCACTATCTCCGATCTCGCTAGCGGTTTCAAAATGGGCGTTGTCGTGCAGAAAAGGCACACTTCAAGTATCACTTTATTCAATGCGGAATAGTATCACGTCACCAGGGAAACAAACGTACTCGATGTTTGTCACGCCACCGCAGTTGGCGATATCAGCAATCCACGCTCGCACCGCTCCATCGACTCGCCTGGAGCCTTGGAAAACGGGTGATGGGAGCGGCGACAGGGAGATGGCGCCACTAGCATCGTGACACCACGTGTATGCTCGCGCTGTGATTGGCTGCTTCCATGCAGCGGTGCGATGCTGTGACGAAAATATCTGGCCGGTTTGATGCTCGCCACACCAGCTAGGCGGTGGTGCGACGCGATGCCACGTCACGAAACGTCACGAAACGTCACCACTCCGGCAGACGCATCGTCGCACCGCATGCCGAATCGCAGAGAAAATCGCACGTCTGTCTCGCGCTTAACGCTGTCCCTCCGCACGAACGCGCCGCGCACCGCAGATGTTGGCGCGATGCCAAGTAGGTCACGCCAATGCTGTGCATTGACGTCAAGCTCCCCTTCCAGTGCGTGTTGACGTCACTCTCTCCCTGGCCTACCATGTGCTCGCCACGACAACCTCAGCTGCCGCCTCGTCCGTTCGCACGCCGCTCCTGCCGGGACCACCACTCGCTTCACCTCCGACTCGTCGGTTCACGTGCAATAAACCTGACGCTTGCTAACGTATGCGTTGAAACATGTCTGTACGTATCACCGACACCGCCTACGCCAGCCATCGCTTCAAACGAATCTTCCAGCGCTCACCGCAGCACCTGCGTTAGCGCCGTTCAACCTGTAATTGCATCCAACGCTGCTAATTGCAACGCAACGCAACGCTGCGCGAGGGATGCAACGCAACGCTGCTAATTGCATCCCATCAGTGTTCACTTCGAGAGATGGTTCTTTTGCTCTTTTTTAATGAACCTGCTGTTCTGTTCGACGCTATGTCACCTGTTTCTGAACTCTACCAGCGCCACGAAGAGCCATCGGCACTTCCAGCGGGATAACTTCAGCCAATAAACGTTAGCAGTGAAGCCATTTTCAAGTTGGTCTCGAACTGCTTCGCTCTTTCCCATTCTCCAGCTCCAGAAATAGATCAGAGAGTTTTAGTGCTGGGTACCCAAAATCTTGGGGCGCTGCGGGCTTGCGTACCCAACCCATACCCAACTGGAATGCCTTGTAGAGGCGCGCACGCAAACGCAAGCCGCACGAAGGTCACAAGCGCTCGCAGCGCCTTAGCGTCTTGTCGCGTAAGTATTATTGAATTATTTTTACGATTTAAAATGTGGAAGTAAACATACATACGGATATGAAGTAAACTAA